ATTATTATTACTATTATTATTGTTGTTGTTGTCGTTAATAGTATTATTATTCTTATTATTATTGTTATTGATATCATTATCGTAATTACATCACTCCTCAGGTCCTTAGCGACGTGGTTGATGAGAACAAGAGACAGTGTCCCCACCAGCTGCTCGCGCAGAAGCGCCAGATCTTGGCGCGAGTGGAGAAGGCCCTGATGCAGAACAACAGAGAGTTTCTCCAAAAAACAGAAGGTCTTCTCGACAACATCACAGCCATCGTGGAGCAGGCCAACAAAGAGCTTCAGCGTCAGAGAGACGACGTTCTCGAGGACGTGACGGGGATCATTGAGAAGGGAAACAGGGAGTGTCTGCAGCAGAAAGACGACATTCTGGAGAACGTAACGGCGATCGTCCAGGCTCTCGAGGCTAGCTTCGAGAGTAAGCTGAAGACTAAGGAGATCCAGAAAAAGGTGGGAGTTGTTTTATAGCTTGTTCACTTTCGTCCGACCGCGTTAAAAAATCTAAATCTAGATCGTCGAGGAATTTACCTCTATGCCCACAATACTTTGCATGGCTCTTCGGCAGGCCAGACCAGAGACCAAACAAAAATATTTTTTCCAAAAATCTTGACCCAGTAATTTTTTAAAAAGTGTTTTTCTCTTTCAGCCCTAAATCAAAATATAAATTAGATTACGTGCCACTAAATGGCTCATTTTGAGACAGCGACCCCCATCCTGCCACCACATTCCAGTGTAAGTTTGTAGATTTCATCCCCCGACTGTCTGGACGTCTCCAAGTGCTTCATGTGAGTCTCGAAAAATCTCTGTGTAGTGTTGAGGAAAATATGTCAACTTTTAAATGTTTTAGGTGTATTCTGTATAACTCCTATTAATTGTTTGACCCGCTTTAGGCTTACATAAAAGAAAACGTGTCGGAACCTTACTTTGCAATAACTTTTATGAAGGGACTTTTAGAGTCTGATGGTCATCCAACTTTGAGACCCGTATGCAAAGATCTGCAAAGATTGAACAGAGCGATTTCATTTTATCTTGTTATAAACAAGGTCAGACGAAAGTGTACAAGCTATAGTAAGAGTTTAACGGCGCTTGAAACATTGAGAGTAAGCTGAAGGCTATGGAGATCCAGAAGAAAATAAGTAAGTAAGTAAGTAAGAAAAAAAGAAAGTAAGTTTATTCATTGTTTAAGGCTATTGTCCACATCACGTCATATAAGAAACCCCTTTGTTCAATTAAGTTTCCATAATTAAAAAGTAGTGGTTGTGCTCATAATATCTCTTGTCATGGGTCGAACATTGCATATTTCTGTCACTGTTAAAAAAGCAAAAGGTTAGAGTTGTTTTAGTAACAGTTTTACGGCACTTGTAATATAGAGAGCCGGCTGAACGCTGTGGAGATCCAGCAAAAGGTTAGAGTTATTAAAATTGTGTTAATAAAAGTTTTACGGCACTTGCAACTTTGAGAGCAGGCGGATTGCTATGAAGACCCAGCGAAAGGTGAGGATTTTTAAAGTTTTGGTAACGGTTTTATGGCACTTGCAACACAAATAAGACATAATATAAATGTCGAATATTTGAGATGTTACCTGGGTGTGACATACAAAGGAAAGGAGGAGGAGAGATGATGCTGATGGACGCTTGATAGAGCAAGCCACACGAGAGCACCCGCCAACCACCTATAGATAAAAGCTTTTCGAATCGTTTGACCTCCAGTACTGACGAGTAAACACTTATTCGTGGGTGGTTGGCGGGTGCTTTGGTATTGGCTTGCGTCTTCTTTCCAAACAAACGTAATATCGTCCGTATCTCTACTCTTCCTTGTTAATGGCTGTTACTTTCTTGAAACATCTCAAACCTTCTTCACATTTGTGACCTATGTATACGGTTGTAAAATGCCGAAAATCTATTGCTAAAACAAATCTTTAGTAACAATTTGTATCTTCGACACATGTATGAACTATCTGTGTTGCAAAATGCCGTAAATCTATTTCTGAAACAAATCTTTAGTAACACCTGTAATCTAAGGTACATGTGTGACCTACTTGTGTTTCGAGGACGGTATAACTGCTACTAAACCAAATCTAAACATTGAAACAGGAATTGCTGATCTAGAAAAAAGAACAAAAGTAAGCTTTCACCAGCACATAAAGAACACTCTGTCCTTTTATGTTCAATAAAGGATATTACAAATTAATACTTACTTAGTTGGAGAATAGGTATCATTGCAGGCGTTACAATGCCACAATATATTATTATATTATAGATCTATGATTTCCTACAAGTATCTCTTTATGACTCCTCTATTTGTTTCTCTCTCCCTCTCCCTCTCCCTCTCTATCTCTCTCTCTATCTCTCTCCCTCTCTCTCTGTGTGTCTCTCTCTCCCTCTCTCTTGCTCTCTCTCTCTCTCTCTCTCTCTCTCTCACACACACACACACACACACACACACACACACACACACACACACACACACACACACACATACACTCTGTCTCTGTCTCTGTCTCTGTCTCTGTCTCTGTCTCTCTCTCTCTCTCTCTCTCTCTCTCTCTCTCTCTCTCTCTCTCTCTCTCTCTCTCTCCTTCTTTCTCTTTCTCTCTCTCTCTCTCATAGACACAAACAAGCATGCACTCTATCTATCTATCTATCTATCTATCTATCTATCTATCTATCTATCTATCTATCTATATATATATATCTATCTATCTATCTGTCTATCTATCTATCTACCATCAGTTCATCATATTCATCAGTTGATTTCATTAAGAAATGAGAAGGTGACTGAATAATATATCGGGGAGCTGACTGGATGGTAAACTGAGAAATTGACGGAAGGATAAACTGAGAAATTCATTTAATGATAAAAATGATTATTGAGAAATTGACTAAGGGATAAACTGAGAAACTGACTGAGTGATAAACTGCGAAAAAGACTGAATAATAAACTTGGAAGTTTACCCAGAGATAATGTTGGATGTGGACGCAAGTACCCCTAAAAACAAACAAACAAACAAACACACACACACACACACACACACACACACACACACACACACACACATACACACACGCACGGGTGGCGTCGGTAGCCTTGTGGTTAGGCTACCGGACTCGTAACCGTGAGATTGCGGGTTCGGGGATTCAAGCCTCAGCTCGGCCTGACGTTGTGTCCTTTGGGAAAGGCATTTTAACACGAATTTCTCACTTGGCTCGGTCCTTTCGGAGACGGACGTTAAACTTGGCGGCTCCGCCTCTTGAATAACCTAATAGTGTTGATTAGGGCGTTAAACCAAAACCATTTCACCATTTTTCACACACATACGCACACACACACATACACACAAACACTCACACACACACACACATACACGCACCCGCACAAACAAACAAATAACCCTATTCAGTTTGGATTTCTCACCAGCCCCGCACGTGCGTTGAGGTGCAGAGTATGGACCCGCGACTTGTGGTCACTCTCGATAACGGTATGACAGTGGTCTGCGACACCAAGACTGACAACGGCGGATGGGTTGTGTTTCAGGTGAGATCAACATTGTTTTACCCCTAATACAATGACATATTGGTACATTACAGGTGAGATCAAAATATGATGATGATGATGATGATGATGATGATGATGATGATGATGATGATGATGATGATGATGATGATTTTTTATCGATACTATTATTATTATTATTATTATTATCTTTATTATTTTTCGTTATTATCGTCATCATTATCATTATTATTGCCGCCTTTCTACTGCTACTCCTTTGCTCCTTCTTACTGCTGAATTTCAGCCACACCCCTGATCTTCTGATAGGAAAGATCTACACCTAGCCTTCTCGGACATGGGCGAAAAATCTAGTTAAAGATCCCTTGGTGGTCCAAAATCGACAAGAATAAGCTTTGGCCGGCCCACTTGCAAAATTCAAAATTTCCTACTAGCTGAAAATTGTTTATGTGTCCCGCGAGCTCATATGACCGTATGCAGTTGCGAGCGCCGTAAAACACTAATAAAAAAGATAAGAAAAGAAAAAACCGCATCTCAGCATTAATTTAAGAAAGTTCACGTGCAGCATTCCAGAAAGATCGAAACCACATTCTGCAAGTTTCATCGTTTTACAATTCTTTCATAGTCATTATAAAGACTTAAGTTATTGGGAGCTCTCGTGGTCTAGAGATGAGAAGTTTGGGTGTTCACCTCTCATTCGATAGGTCTCGGGTTCAAAACTTGACAGCGACGGAAAATAAAATGTCTTTTCCTGAATGTTTTTGCTTTCACCTCCTTTCCTTCTCGTTTACCATGCCCTGTCGTCTGATTCCATCTCCACTTTCTGCCACTTCCCCCCACCTATCCTCTTTGCCCCCCCCCCCCCCCTTTGGCTCCTCACTCTTTCTGCTACCTTTCTACCGCTGTCTTCCAGCCACGCCCCTGATCTTAAGGTAGTTAAGATCTAGCACCGAGCCTTGTCGGATAAGGGTGAAAAAATCTCGGAGGTCCCATGTGCAAGTTGTGCACGTTTAAGATCCCTTGATGGTCCTGAAATCGATAAGAGTTGACTTCGGCGCCACCCGGGAACATTCAAAATCAATTCCTACGTAACTACTGAAGATGCTTATTAATGTGCCGTGCGCGGTCATAATATAACCTTATTCAGTTGCAGGCGCCGCAAAACAGGTTTTTTTTAAAAGAATTATTGAACGTCTCTCGTACACATAGTGTTGCACGTCTGTGGTGTAGCGGTAAGGCGCTTCACCGACGCATACAGGAGACCCCCCGAGTTCGATTCCTAAATAGGGAAAAATATTATCGAGTATCTCGGTCTTTTTGCTGGGATGTTGTATCCCAGGATGTTGTATCCCAGGATGTTGTATCCCAGGATGTTGTATCCCAGGATGTTGTATCCCAGGATGGTGTATCCCAGGGTTGGCCCTGAAAGGCACGTTCAGAAGCCGCCTTGTAAATGATCTAATAATGTTTTGTGTTGATGTGGGCGTAAAAAACGCATAGATTTAGATCTATATATTATGAAAAATAAGTATACATTTATTATTGCGTGCTAACGGACCTCACGCTTTAGGGTGGTTGGCGGGTGCTCTGAATTGGTTTGCTTCTTCTTTCCTATCAAACCTCTATTGTCCTTATCTCCCCTCCTCCTTTTAGTGTTTGTTTCCCTCTCGTAAAGCCTTTGAGCTTCAGTATTTACAATAATTCGATCGTATTGTGTTGCAATACACGCTTGCTAAAACTAAAGATCTCACACATTTGGGCAATGTTCTGTTCTGTCCACAGAGACGTGCCTCGGCCAACGTGGACTTCTTTCGTGGCTGGCTAGGGTACAGGGACGGGTTCGGAGACCTCCATAGTAACTTCTGGCTGGGTTTAGAGAAAGTCCACCAGCTGACAAAAATGGTAATGTTACGCTTTTACGTCAGTAAAATGCATGCGCATAACACTGGTCGTTGATGGATTCATCCAGTGCCAGATCTGCGACAGACATCGGCGATCATAGTTCTCCTTTCAATTCTTTGCTCGGATGCTCTCAAAAAAGCAATTTTTCCCAGATCTTTCCCTGTTACCCATTTGTTTAGGTTCCCTAAATATGTCGTTCTGGGCCTCCCCCTGCCTCGCTTGCCCTCAATTTTGCCAGTGAGAGCAAGATGTTCAAGACCCTTATGTCTATTCAGGTGTCCCAAAAACTGCATTTTTCGTTTCCTGATTGTTTTTAACATTGAGCGGTCTTAAAAACGAAAGTTGCCAAATTTTATGAAACTTGATGTACTGATTCCAATTAATACTGTAGCTAGTTTTCTCTGCCAGGCCATGCTCTTGTAGAATTCACTAATTTATGTAATTCTAAATATCCTTCGCATTTTCAGAAAAAGGGGGGGTGTTAAGAATAACAGCCGCTATGAAACAACAGTTTGGGGGCCCTCGTGGCAAAGAGGTTAAGGTGTTCGCCTCTCATTCAAAGGTCCCGGGTTTGAATCCGGGTAGCGACGGAAAAATTTTCTTCTCTAAAAGTGTCTCTTTTCAACGCCTTTCCTTCTCTCAAGCAATGTTCTGTCGTCTGCTTTCGTTTCCACTTTCTT